CTTCCCTCGAGAAAACCTCTCTCCCTGGCCTGCCCAGCTCAAGAAGCTGCAGACTAGAGAAAAACCCTGCTCAGGAGGCTGGGAACGTTAAGGCGTCCTTCAGGAAAACAGCCTTCCCCCAGAATCCATTTTCAGGAGCCACAGAGCCACCACCTCGCCAGCGAGGACAAGGACTTCCTCAGGGCCTAGGCCCTGGGTGGATCAGGCAGGTGGAGGGCAGGAGGGGCAGGTAGGAGAGATGTAGGCACCTTGAGCTGCCAGCTGCCCACGCCCTTCGGGGACACTGCCCGGGGCCAGGCTGGGTCTCCCAGCATCGCCCAGTTTCTTTTCTAAACGCCCCAAAGACCACTTCCAACCAACTCGCCCGTGACAGAAGCCATCCCATGGCTTTTCTCCTTCTACATCCGGGTCCCTGAAGGGGAGCATAGCTTTCGATGCTTCTGAAGGACTTAACTCTGACAAAGATGGAACTAACTCCACAGGGCTGGCTCTCCAGGCCGGCTCCTCCACCTCCTCCTCCTCCCTTTTTTCAGTCACACCAGGTGCAACAGGTGGCCCTTTGGGTATGAAAAGGCTAGAGGACTCATTACATCGTTATGTGTAAAAGGCAAAAGCTAGAAATATCTACCATGCTCATCAAGAACAAAATCGATGGCCCCTAGCCCAGTGGTTCTCAACCTTTCTAATGCCAAGACCCTTTAGTACAGTTCCTCATGTTGTGGTGACCCCCAACCATAATTATTTTCATTGCTACTTCATAACTGTAATTTTGCTACTGTTATGAATCGTAATGTAAATATCTGTGTTTTCCGATGGTCTTGGGCTCTACAGCAGCAGTTCTCAGCCTGTGGGTCGCCTAAGACCATCAGAAAACACAGAATAAAAAGGTTGAGAACCACACTGCCCTAGTCAGTTAGGCTCAGTGGATAGAGCATTGGCCTGTGGACTGAAGAGTCCCAGGTTCGATCCCAGTCAAGGGCACATGGCCAGGTTGTGGTCTTGATCCCCAATAGGGGGGTGTACAGGAGGCAGCCAATCAATGATTCTCTCTCATTATTGATGTTTCTATCTCTTTCTTCCTCTCCCTTCCTCTCTGAAATCAATATATATATATATATATATATATATATATATATATATATATATGAAAGCCTAAGCAACCATTCAACCAATACCTATGATGCGCACTGACCAACAGGGGGAAGACTCTCAATGCACAGGCATGGAAACATGGAACTGACTGATGAATCTCAGAGCGAAGGGGAGAAGGGGGAAGGAGGATGGGGGAGGGTGGGAAGAGATTAACCAAAAATCTTATATTCACACTAGAGGCCCAGTGCACCGATTCATGCACCAATGGGCCCCTAGGCCTGGCCTGTGAGGATCGAGCTGAAACTGTGCATGGGGCTTCCGACATCCCCCAAGGGGACCCAGATTGTGAGAGGGTGCTGGCCAAGTCAAGGGACCTCACCGGTGTGTGCACTGGACCTCTAATAAAAATATATTCTTAAGAATTAGCCTAGATGAATAACATGTGATCTAATCAGAAAACAGAATACTATAAGCCATCAAAACAAAAGAACTACTACACACAACCATGAGTATCACCCTCACACACAGAACATTGCACAAAATAAGCCAGACACAACTGCATAGACTGTGTGATTGATTCTATTTTGATAAAAGTTTACAAGCAAGTAAAACTCATCTCTGGTCCCTTTGGGGAGGCAGGATAAGACAGTAAAAGGAATATGAAGGGCACTTCTAGGGTGCCATGTTCTATTTCTCGAGCTGGGTGATTGCATAAATGTGTTCACTTTGTGATAATTCATTAGGTTGTACACTTAAGATGTTTTGTGAATGATTGCACACACACACACACACACACACACACACACACACACACAAAGGGGAAAGGACACATTTAGGGCTTCAGCTTTGCTGGCCATGGTTCTGAACGGGGAGAGCCCCTGGGTGGCAGTGGGGCAAAGGGAAAAGTCTGACTGCCTTGGGAAGGTGACCTAAAGGCCACAGTGAGGGTGGGGAAGAGGCAGGAATGAGGGGGGTGGACAATTTTAGGGCTTCTTCCCTTCTGCCTTCTGGTAACTGTCAATGAATTCTCTGCATAATGTGCTTCAAAGGGAAGGAAAACGGCTGGGAGTAGGCTGGCAGTGAGAGGACAAGGAGGAGAGATGGAATCAAAAGAAATCCTAAATGCCCAGGTGGGCAAGGAGAGCAGGGGGTTGGGGGATTTCCACCACTCAGCCCAGAAGTAGAGAAGCCTCTTCTCTACTCCCCTCCCTGAGCCAGTGTTTGCTACACAACTGCATCGAAGGCTTTACTACATCACTCTGCATGAGAGTGTGAGAGTATGAGAGTGTGAGTGTAGGTGAGTGTGTGTGTGTGATAGTGTGTGTGTGTGATAGTGTGAATGTGTGAGTGTGAGTGTGTGAGTGTGTGTGTGTGTGTGTGTAGCTAAGGAATCCACATCCCCAGCATCCAACATATTGTTTGGCATATAGTTTGCACTGAAAAAAAAGGTGTTATTGGACAAATAAGTGACAGAATATGGGAGGCAGCTAGGTACAAGGTAGAGACTCTATTTCTCAATACTTAAGAAATCTGTAATAACAGCTTACATGGCTAAGCGCTCTGTAGTATACTGTGCAGCTACCAAAAATCACAAGCAACAGCAACAAGCATCTGGAGGGTGCTTTTGTTTACTATGAACTGCACCTCACCCTTGTCTGGCACAGAACGACACGGACTTGGCTGCCACACCGAAATATGACAGTGACGCATGAGCAGCAACCTCCCTGAGGAGGCCCAAGGAGGAGATGGTGGCCTAACAAGGTCTGATGGAAAGGGACGGGAAGGGTCCACATCTTAAGAGCAATTCTGAGCGGCTTGCCGCGCTTGGCTAGCTGTTTGTGTAAATAACTGAGCCAATTTCACATACTGTATTTCAACTCACTTCCTCTGTTTTCTTTAGAGACAGCAGCAGGAACAATATTAACAGTATTCACAAGTCTTGGTGTTGAGTGAAACCTCTCAGAAGTGTTTGATGTTCAAAGTGGACTCAGGTTCATGGGCCAGTGTTGTTTTATTTCATTCTCCTAACATCCTGGCGGGTGGGGGGGGGGGGGGGGGGGGGGGGGGAGGATAGCCTTGGCCCAGTGTGACTCTGTTGGTTGGGGGTGTTGTCCCATGAACCAGGAGGTTGCCAGCTAGAGTCTGGTCAAGAGCACATGTCCAGACTGCTGGCTCCATCCAGGTGTGGGGGGAGGGGTATAGGGGGCAGGCAATCATTGTTGCCCTCACACTGATGGTTCTCTTTCTCCCCCTCTCCCTTCCTCTCTCTAAAAATCAATAAACTATTCTTTAAAAAAACAAAACAAAACTTTTTTGTCTACGCTGTCTTTCTGACTGTATCAGTGTTATAAAGAAAGGAGAACACACACACACACACACACACACACACACACACAGAATCCCCCTCCACTCTGAAAAAAGCTAGGCCAAATGCTTAATGATCTATGAGAGAAAGAAAGAAAAAAAAAATGAAGCGTGGAGCCTTTAAACCTTGGCATTCGCTTCCTCCTCTCCTGGTGGTTCCTATAGAAACTTTGTTTTGCAGTTTGTGACTGTCCCAAAGGCAAAGTCTCTGCAGGCTCTGAATCTGACACTGCTTTGGGCGGACTTCCTGCAAGCACGCCAGCAGTGGGAGGATCGCGAAAAGGAGATAGTTCACAAAACGCCCATCACGTGCCTTTTGATGCGACAGTGACTTGCAGGGGTAAAAGCCTGCTTTCCGCAGAGGGCAGTGGGTCCCTCTTGGGGCGGGACAGCCCGCAACAGTCAGAGCTTTCCCACAACAGTTCCTAGCAAGCACTCTCACTTAAAAAGCTGTTTTGAAAGGTCTGTGGGACACTGGTAACTGAGGCAATTTTCACAGCAATTGCAGAAATCCTTCAAGCAGAAAGCTGTGTGGGCAAGACTGTGTGCTGGCGCCACATGGGGGTGAGGGGCTGACGGAAGGGCGGGGACTCCACGCATGGGCAAAGAGGGGACTAATCCTGCCTTCCCCTCAAACTATTTAAACATCGGTGGCCAGAAAAATAAAAAAATAAAAATAAAAAGGGCACCCGCCTGGGGCCACAAGTCCTCCTCCTGGTACAGAGGGCGCAGGGATTCCCGAGAGCTGGGGGCAGATGAGGACACAGAAGCTGCGCCCCGGGGCTGGGAGTCACCCAGGAGGCGGGAAGGGCGCGGGGCCAGCGCCGATGGATTGCAGGGGAGGCTCCGCACGCCACCCGCGCTAACCTGCCCGCCCCCACCACCCCCGGCCAGCCTCCTGCCCGCCCCCTGCCCGCCCTATTGCCCCCAGCCCGCCCCCATCGCCCCCAGCCCGCCCCCATCGCCCCCAGCCCGCCCCATCGCCCCAGGCGGTGCACAAACCGCGATCACCTGCGGCCGCTGCCCCGGGCAGATAGCGGAGGGGAAAGCCGGGCTCCCCGCTGCAGCGCCGCCCGTGGGCCCCGCCTCCGGGCCGGGCCGGGCCGGGCCCGCGGGGCCTCCTGGCTGCGCGCCGCCGCCTCCCGCGCGGGCACCTGCGCGCGGCCCCGGAGCCAATGCCCCCCGCGCCCCCCACCCTCCCAGGTGCGGCCGCCGAGGCCCGGGCCGCGCACCGGGGCCCGCAGGCGGGGAGGGCGCACCGCCTCCGCCCGCCCCGCGCCCCGCGCGCGCAGGTGCCGCCGCCGTCGAAGGCTCTTTGTTCGCGCGGCCCGAGCGGAGATGCCGGCGGCAGCGGCGCCCTCCGGGGCGCATACGCCCGGCGCGGGGCTGGGGCAGAGCCCGGGTCCGAGTGCCGCCGAGGAGGAGAGCCCCTCGGGGCGCGGCGGCTGCGGGCCCAGCCGCCCCCGCCCGCGCTCAGCCCTTTCTCCTTCCGACCGCCCCCCGACCCCGACCCCCATCCCGCCTCCGCCCGGCGGCGCGCTCACCTGCCCTCCGCGGCCCCCGCGCCGCAGCTCATGGTCGGCCCGCGGCTGGGAGGGCGCCCGGCTCGCTCGGCGGCGGCTGCAGGAGGCCCGCGTGCCGAGCGCCGCCGCCGCGGGTGGAGGGAGGAGGGAGGACGGGGGAGGGCTCCCGGGGGAGGGGACTGGGCGGGAGGGGCGCCGGGGCCCCAGCCAGAGGCGGCCCGGCTCCCGGAACGGAAGCGTGGGCTCGCGGGTCGGACAGCGTGTGCACATCTGTGTGCACAGCCCCTCACCGCGGCCGCGCGGGAACCCGGCTCGGTGACACTCACGCCGAGGCTTCTGTAAAGGGGAAGGGCCAGGGCCACTGGAGGGGACAGAGAGCTCGGGGCACCGTCACTGGAGGTGGATACTCCTGTGGCTGGGGATGTTTACTGGGGACCACGAAACACCATCCCCCAAGGATCTATCTGTAAACGCCCTGAAATTCTATGCCAGATTTTGTATCTAAAGAAGTGTGTGGAGCAGTGGTTCCCAACTTTTTTGGGGGGCCATGCTCCACCTAAGCATCTCTAAAATCCTGATCCCACATGTAATTCTTATTATTCGAAAAGTGAACTCCCATTCATGTGGAGAAAGCCTAAAAAAAAGGCCATTAACTTGGTCTAAACAGGCTTCCAAAATACATGGCATCCATGAAAGAGAAAATAAAAAGAACAAAAGAACAGTTGAAGTACTGAGGAAGAAATCACTAAGAAAATGTTTAAAAAATAATAATATGAAGTGCTATGAAAAAATAGCAAATAAAGTTTCAAAACAATAGAGAACTGAAATGCATAAATATGTCACAATATATATCTCTATACTGTATATGTGAGGTCCCCTAGAACCACAAGAAATGCAAAAAGTTCAATTAGTAATTCATTCTCAAATTGCCCCCCTTAAGAACCAAATTGCCCCCATGTGGGGCATGTCCCCATGTTGGGAACCTTGGATCTAGAGTGAGGGACCACAGCCTTCATTGGATTAAAGAGCTGTGTGACACCCCCACACTCACCCCAAACTAAGGATGGATGGAAAAAAACAGTGATTCAATTTGCTGCAAATTGAATCACTCAGATAGTTGTTGTTTTTTAATTGGGATGCCTGGAATGTTATCCCAAATCAATTTAATAGGTAGAGTAACGCAAGCTTCAGTATTTTTTAAAATCCCAGGTGATTTCAATGTGCAGAAAAGTGCCAGAAACTCTGCTTACACTGTTGGTGGCCGCACTGTACATTTTTTTTTTTTTAACCTGCTATCGATATTTCAGCATGACTGTTTGCCTGCCTCTGGAGGCCCGCCCTGCTGTCAGTGGAGAGCCAGGGTTCATGTTCACGGGGGCCTGTGGGGAGCCAGGCTAGCATGTCCCTTACTCAAGGGAGCTTTGGCTTCCACATGGGCCTGAGTTCCAACCCCAGCTCTGCCCTTTCCTAGCCATAAGAATCTGAGCAAGTAATTTAATTTTTCTCAACTTCAGCTTCCTTGCAAACAAAGTAAAAGTGAAAATAGTGGAATATCCTAGGAACTGGTATTTTTTTTTAATTGAGATATAATTGACATATAGTTCCAGGTATACAATATAATGACTTCATATGTCTATGTATTGTGAAGTGATCACCACAATGAGTCTAGTTAGCATCCATCACCACACAATTACATCTTTTTCTTTTCTTGTAATGAGAACTTTTAAGATTCTCTCTGTTAGCAACTTCAAACATACAATACGCGTTATTAATTCTAGGGAATTGGTATATTTTTTCTTTTTTTAAATATATTTTATTGATTTTTTACAGAGAAGAAGGGAGAGGGATAGAGAATTAGAAACATCAATGAGAGAGAAACCTCCTGCACATTCCCTACTGGGTATGTGCCTGCAACCAAGGTACATGCCCTTGATAGAAATCAAACCTGGGACCCTTCAGTCTGCAAGCCAATGCTCTATCCCCTGAGCCAAACTGGTTAGGGCTATTTTTTCTTTATTAAATAAGTTTTTATTGATTTTAGAGAGAGGGAAATGGAGAGGGAAAGAGAAAAAAATATTGATGAGAGAGAAACATCAACCAGTTGCCTCCTGCATGCTCCCTACTGGGGACTGAGCCCACAACCCGGGCATGAACCCTGACTGAGAATCGAACTGGCAACCACTGGCTGGGCAAGAATCGGCATATTTTTTGTAAGCTCCCCAGGTGGCCCAAACCAGCAGCTGTTGAGGACCCTGGTTCTGTCTCACTTTCCCGCCCTCCAATTTGCTTCTCAGCCAACCTTATGACATGGTTCCCCACCCACTCCCCACCCCCTAGTGAGCTTTGCTAGATTCAGGTGCCCTTGTATATGCCACTGACTCACTTGGCCATTTTCTCCTTCCTGAAATTGTCCTTTGGCTTTCAGGAGGCCCTTGTGGCCTGACAAGCCACTGAGACCCACAAAGAATTGAGGCTCTTGATCCAACAGCCTGTAAGAACTAAAACCTGGAAACAACCATGTAAGTGGACTTGGAACTGCATCCTTTGGTCCCAGTTGGATCTTTGGATGACTGCAGCCTTGGCTGCAATCTCATAAAAGACCTAGAGCAACAAACACTCAGCTAAGCCACTTCCAGATTCCTGGCACACAAATAATAAATATTTGTTGTGTTAAGCTGCTAAATTAGGGGATAATTTGTTATGCAGCAATAGATAACTAATACAAACAGGAACAAGATTCCATAGTTAGTGCAATGGAACCACACCATTGGTATTTTTATGTAAATTCAACCATTGTTGTGCAAAAAAAGAAAGGGTGGACACTACATAGTGTTGCTAATTGTGCCTGTTCTTCCAGTGAAGTGAGATGATGAGATGAAAGAGGTGGATCTGGTTCCATTCATGCTCTCCATCTGAGTCCTGGGCAACTCCCATAGAAGAGCAAGTCTTTTTTTTTTTAATAGAGAAAGTGAGCATTTATTTGTCTATAGTTTACAGGGAGAAGATAAAAGCAAAGAATTATCTGAAAGAAAAAATCCTGAATGATAATCAAATCTATGAACTACAGATGGCGGCAAGAATCCACATTTTGCACCACTCTCTTTCTCTCATCCCCAAGGCAAGGTATAAGATAAAAAGTTTGGGGAGCCGAAACAGGTTTGGCTCAGTGGATAGAGCGTCAGCCTGCAGACTGAAAGGTCCCAGGTTCGATTCCTTAAGCAGCTATTCGATGATTCTCATCGATGTTTCTAACTCTCTATCCTTCTCTCTTCCTCTCTGTAAAAAATCGATAAAATATATATCTTTTTAAAATGTAGCACTCTGAAAACAAAATTATTAAAAAAAAAAAAAAAAGTTGGGGGAATAAAGGTACTTAAGTTATGACAGTTCTCAGGGTCCCTTCAAAATAAATCTTCCCCTAGAAAATTTCTTAAATTTTAGCCTGCTTCTCAATGAACTACTACATGGCGACCAACATCTGAGCCAAGAAATAGATCACTAACTCCTTCTCTCCTTGAATTCTTGATGCTGGCTGTGCTGCTCCTATTTTTAAATATCCAACACAATACAAAGTGGGAAGAATGAGGCTAAGTCACTGATGTTGGTTCTACATCTAATGTAGTCAAAATGACCCTTGAAATCCCTTAACTCATGAGGACATGAACCCAGGACTCCCCAACCCCGGAATAGTTCTTAGAGCAATGTAAGAAGGGGCCCAGTCCTGGGCCCCCGACTTCAGAGACCTCCACCATGGCTCTTGCCAACCACACCTCCCACAGGGAGAGGAGTCACTGAGGCCCAAGGTATGTGCCTTCCAGAGCCTGTGTCCACTGCTCCCCCCTCCACCACCCCCAACTTTTAGACCAAAGTCTGGAATGAAAGGCCCCAAATTTTCTGTCCAAATGGCCCTGAGCCCATTTCCAGGGCCCGCATAGCCCTCTCCCCAGTCCACCTTTCCAAGGGTGGAACATACCACCAGAGTGCACACACCCGGCCAAGGTGAGACCAAGGGCAGCTGTGTAAAGGGGGGCAGCTTGTACACGGGAGCTGAGTGACCCGCATGCGTGCACAAAGACCCTCGCCAATCCAAGGCAACAGCTACCAGTAGATGCAGGAAGTGGCTGGGGCTCAGGTCACAGCCAGTGCCTCGCTCAGGGGAAGCCAAGGGAGGGAGTACATTTCCAGCTTAAGTAATGAGTTTAAGTAAGGAGAGGAAGGATGTGCCTCCAAAGGGGAAGGAAGCCGGGGAGAGTCTTCAAAAGGGCCACGGGGCTCAGCTGCTCAGTGGCCAAAAAAAATAACAGGCCTCTCTCACCTCCTCCTTCACCTCTTCTCCGAAGATTTCACTATGTGCTCCCATTCCAGATGAGTTGTCCTCTCCTCTGTACTGCCCGGAGCCCACTTGACCATTGGATTGGGTCACTCACTCTCCATGCTGTTGTCACTTTGTTTTTTTTTTAGTTCCATTTTATTTTATTTTTATTTTTTTTTTCTCATCACTATCCCCTCTATGCCCTCTTCCACCTTCATCCCCCACTCCTTCAGTCACCACACTGTTGTCCATATCCATGAGTCTCTCTCTTTTTTTTGTTATTCCTCACCCATGGATATTTGTCCATTGGTTTTAGGGGGAGGGTGGAAAGGGGAGAGAGAGAGAGAGAGAGAGAGAGAGAGAGAGAGAGAGAGAGAGAGAGAGAGAGAGAACACATTGATGTGAGTGAGACACATCTATCGGTTGGTTGCCTCCTACAGGTACTCCCACATCTCGACCAGGGCCTGCAACTAGGTACCTTCCCTTGACCAAGAATTGAATTCATGACCCTTCAGTGCATGGGCTGGTGCTCTAACCACTTAGGCACACCAGCCAGGGCTCTCTCTTTTTTTCACTGTTATTTTTACATTTTTTAAAAAAATATATTTTATTGATTTTGTAGAGAGAGGAAGGGAGAGAGATAGAGTTAGAAACATCGATGAGAGAGAGTCATCAATCAGCTGCCTCTTGCACACCCCCTACTGGGGATATGCCCACAACCAAGATACATGCCCTTGACTGGAATCGAACCCGGGACCCTTCAGTCCCCAAGCCGACACTCTATCCATTGAGCCAAACCGGCCTCTGCTTTCACTGT